TTCTAAATTTTTCAATTTATGTGTGTCCCACCATTTGATTAATACTGTGACGTTTCCCACGCGGCTTGACTCTCATCTGGATTTACTTTTGTGCAATGACAATCACTCATTCGAAATATCAAATATGGGCCTCCACTTGGTAGCAGCGATCACGCTGTTATCAAATTTTGCCTTTCCTCGCCCAGTTTGCACGCCAAGGTTTCGTGGATCAGAGACTTTGAGTCTACGGATTTTCAAGCCATGAGAAATTATCTGCGTCAAATTGACTGGTTGGGCTCTTTCAGTAATGCTCATTCGGTTAATGACAAATATGAAATGTTTCTAGCAATCCTGAATCATGCCATTGGTTTCTTCACACCCTTCAAAGTAAAAAGCGATTATGTTCATTCAAATCTTCCGAGGCACTTAAGCTCTCTTGATAAAGTTAGGTTTACCGCTTGGCGTCGAGCGGTTCCCTCACAATCCGCATGTGAATGGAATGCCCTTCATGCATTAAATAAAAAGTGGACTCATAAACTTCATAAATATAATTCGTGTATTGAAAGAAAAAGGCTTTCGAAAGATGGTGCAAAGGCATTATATTCCTTGCTCAGGCTGCGACTCAGAGGTAAACCTAAAATTGGGACTTTTTTGGCTGACGATTTGACAAGGGCTGTTACGGATAAAGATAAAGCTGAGTTGTTGGCTTGTTCGTTTGAAAGAGTGTTCTCTTTGCCTTTGGTTCTATCCCTGACATGAGTACGGTGGAATTGTTGAACAGGGTTCAGTCCCATGGTTTGACAAGTCAACCATTGCTGACATTCTTTATGAATGGACGTCTACGGCTAGTACGAACTGTGAGGGTATTCCCTTTGTTGTTGTAAAAAACTGTGTTGTTGAAATATGTCAGCCTCTGGAGTTCCTGTTTAACTTGAGTCTCATGAGAGGGGAAGTCCCCTGTAAATGGAAACATTCCATCGTGTTTGCCCATCCGAAGAAAGAGCCATTTTCGTGCCCTAATAATTACAGACCGATTAGCTTGACGTCGATTTTTGCTCGGACCTTCGAAAAAGTTACAAAGAAATACTTATTGGAGCACTTGGCTCAGTACGATATCATTCCGCACTCACAGCATGGCTTTTGCTCTGGCAAGTCGACTGAAACAGCTTTGCTGTCTTGCATGAACTTATGGATTAGTGCGATTGATTCGAGGAAAAATGTGGATGTTATCTTTTTTGATTTCAGTAAAGCTTTTGACAAAGTGTCGCATACGATCTTAATATTTAAATTGTTGGATTCAGGATTTTCTTGATAATAGAACATTCCAGGTCCTTGTTGGTGACTTCCTTTCCAGTGTTAAGTTGCCACCAGTGGGGTTCCACAGGGTGGAGTCCTGACACCGATTCTATTCAACATCTATACTGCTGACCTTCCCCCATACATTCAAGATCTTGACGTATCTTGTAATATGTTTGCTGATGATATAAAAATATTAGGGGAGGTTAATGATTCCATTTCTGACCCCATTGTTCAACAGGCATTCGATAAGATCGTGACGTGGGCTGTTGCAAATGGTCTCAGCTTGTCGTCCGATAAGACTCAGGTTATGCGGATTGGTTCTCATTCTATTAGTCCTGTTTACGCGGCGGCGGATCACGTGCTAAAAACGGTTTCGGAAGTTCGCGATCTTGGTTTTTACTATGATTATCGGTTAAATTTTAAGAAGCACTGCAATATATTGGTTTCAAAGGGCAATCGTCGTTCCTTCAATCTGTTCAAGGCCCTTCGTTCTAAGAATCAGGACGTTCTCTTGCGTGCATACAAACTGTATGTGCGTCCCATTTTGGAATATGGATCCTCAGTGTTCAATCCCTACGCTAAAAACGATATTCGGGCTCTTGAAAGCGTGCAAAATAGCTTCACCCGTAAGCTGATGCTCAGGTGTTCGAGCCTTCGCTATGTTTACATACCTAATGGGAGCGCAAGGGGTTGCCAACATTGGGTTTAAAACTCTTGAATGGAGGAGGAAGCGATATGATATGCTAATGACTTATAAAATGCTGAAAAACATTGTAAATATTGAAGATTCAGATTTTTTTTCATGTGTTGCCGTC